AGTCGACGATGCCACAACCAAACCTTCGAAGCTTTATTCCTATCCCTCGGATCTTTGTCCACTGCAAGAGCATGAGTCAACATTCGAGAACTGTTTGATGTCAGCTCCAAGTAGTAGAGCTTCCCCTTCCTAATACCATAACCAATCGTCTTGCGAGTCCAAATGTCCTTAAAAACACAAAAGGAAGGCCAAAAAATCACAAGACAATGCAGGGCGACAGTTATTTGAGAAACAGATAATAAATTATAGTCAAGAGAAGGAACAACAAGCACGGTATCAAGACTAAGGGTATCTGACAGGGAGACAGTGCCTTCTCCAATAATGGAAACAACATTACCGTTGGCAACACTCACAACGGTTTTGTTGGATGGTTTTAGGATTTGTACCTGTCTAGATTCACAAGTCATATGTTCAGTAGCACCGGAATCAATTATCCATGTATTATTCGTAACAGATGCAGAAACGTTTAAAGCCTTACCATCGTTGTCTATATGTTTAGAAGCTACCTTAGCTTTGGCAATTAGTGCATGAGTCTAGACTGCCATTGTTCTGGATGAGTTTGCTGCAATGTGTATGGGTGATTGGTAACGTCCAAACTTCCAACCAAAGGTCCTGTAAAACAATGACCAAAAAACAAACAAATTTCTTTTTTCTTTTTTTCTGTTTCCTCCATTTTTCTCCTTTTTTTTTTTGTCTTTTTCCTCTTTCTTTACTTCTTCACCCGTCCCTTCTACTTTTTTTAAAACAAAAAACCCCTTTTCTCTTTCTTCTTTCCGTAATAGCACAACAACTCTTTTTCCTTTTTGTTTTCGCAACAGCACCCCTTTTTCTGTTGTTCTTCAAGATAGTAGCAAGTGGGTCACGGAGTCTGGGCACAAAAAAATAGATTTACGGTCGAAATCTTGTGGTGCAGATGAAACCAACAGTAGAAAGCCGTGGTTCAAGGCGATGGCGATTTGGGTCGGCCTAGAATCTGGGACAAACTTCAGGCAGCGTGTTAAATCTCGGTTTGTGGTGGTGGATGCAGGGAGTGGCTCGGTGAACTCGGATCAGCAACGACGGCGTCGCTCGCTGGTCGGACGGTGCGTTGCACAACTGGATGTGCGGCTGGTAGTTCTGGGTTCTCGGGTCAGCAACGATGGCGTCGCTCGCTGGTCGGATGGCTCAACACAACTGGCTGCGCGGCTGGTGATTTTGTTTCTGCGCACAGCGCACTGCTTTTTTTTTTCCTACCTAGCTCTGGTGCCAAGAAGAGGATGCTTTGAATGATGATATATTCTTTTCAATAAGAGGAACTTATAGGTGTATAACCCTAACATTTAAGGAAAGAAAACTAATTACAAGTGATTACATATCAATGAGGGATCCTACCTAAAATACAAAAGTCAACAAAGATGGCTACAAACTGAGGGCTATTAGATTGACTTATTTACAAGTGAATAACAAGTTGTTTGGACCCGATTGTACATTTTCGGCCTAAGCAATCGAGACCGTTGGATGATTATGAAGAATTCTAGAAGTTGGAATGTGATCAACTTTATACCCAAAGTACAGATTGAAATCAAGGACTTTTCTTCTTCCACGGTTCTGTTCGGGATTTTCGTATTGCAGTTTTTTAAGTGTTTTGGGAGATTATCTTCTAATAATTCAAGCATGGAGGAGTTCATACAACATGTGTAAATATAGAAGAATCATAGCCACCGAGTATCTTGGCAGGATGCCAAGTATTTTAATTAAATGGGATTACTGAAGTTGCATGCATTATCACATCCAAGAAAAGGTGGGATTCCATGCAAGATGCGGAGATAAAGTGGGACTGCATCAGGTGGCTAAAAGGGACATGTGGATTTTGAACGATGGTGATGACGTGATTAGAATTGAATATTTGAAAAAGATTGTATTGGAAGGTTAGGATGGCAAAGTTGGGATCAAGCTTTGATTGATGTGATAAGGTGTGGACTTATGTGCATATAAGATAAAGTTTTCAAACCTTCATTTGTTATTGTGATTATGCACGGGATAAGTGTGTGGTCAGCAGCAACAAATAAAGACTCAGAATCACAGCGCAATTGGGATTGGTTTTCACGACTTGGGCATGCAGATCTTTATAAATACTAAGCGGCAGACGACTAAAAGACCCCTCCAATTCAACACACAAAACTGCCCTGCGCAAACTCGCGCTCTACTTGAAACCTCTCAAACACCTTGAGATTTTTTTTTCTTTTCCACCAACACATCTTCAGTTTGGATAAACAGCACTGTGAAGGCAACCGGCGAACATCTTCAGTTTGGATAAACAACACTGTTGCCGTAGAATCAATCTACTGCGAAGCACCTTCAGTTTGGATAAACAGCAATGCGACGAGGCTGACTGGTTATCTATCCAAGTCACGATCGAGAAGGATTTTCAAATCCTTATTGGCAGAAGTCATCTCATCAGCCTTTTCGACGAAGTGAGGTGTTACCAGGTTACTACATTCGACACCTTGAGAGTCGAATTTGATATTGAACTTCGCAGAACTAGCAGCCTTATCTTCAGGCTCTAAAACCCAAAGGCCGAGACGTGTTCCTTCCTCGGCTGCAGTCGCGAGATTTAGAAGTCAGCAACGCGCCTAACGCAACATCAACAAATTTTACTCACCAGCCGAGCTTGGCCGTTGAGTTGGCACGCCCTACATACAACCAAAGGACGTAGTTAACTCATTAGTTACTTGGCCTGTGCGCCACGTAGACTTGGTAGTTTTTAGGGTCAACACAAACATACAATTTATAATAAACGAAAACCTAATTTGAATGGACGGGGCCCAAACCCTAAACTTATTATTTTCCAACAATAACAACAAATATAAAACAGCAAAAACATAAAGCTTGAAAGTACAACGAAACATTGGAAAGAAAGAACCGAGAAGCTATTAGAAAAGAAAGTGGATTCACTAGAACGTAGAATCCATTCCGACTTTAGAGGGGCAGGGCAATGAGAATAAAAATGTTAAGCTTAATTAATCAGTTTATTTGAACATTATCAGGGTCCGACCGTCATGAGCCATGCCCCCAATGAATCCGGAGCCGAAATGACATAGTGACTGCCGCAAGAGAGCTCTCTCTCAAAGTCAAAGAAGCATCTAATATTTCTATAATATTTTTAAGTACGCAAATAATTTGATTGTCACGACTCACGATTTGTTTAAAAACGATTATTTTGTGTCCAGCACATCGTGTCGAATAGTCAGGCTTTAGCGCTAAACACGGGGACCTGGATCTTCTCCGAGGCAAACCCTCGAGATTCTGCTGAGCGATAAACACGGACCGTTGGATTTTGATCCAACGATTCCAAACAAGGAGGTCATTCTTAAAGTTATAATAATTATAGTTATTGGATCGAAATTCAACGGCTGGTGTTTGTCGCTCAATAGGATCCCGAGGGTTTGCCTCGGAGAGAATCCAGTTCCCTAAACACGGTACTACACTATGAGAATTTTTCTAACGTTTAACACAATAGTTAAAACCAGAAAGTCCTTGTTTCAAGTCAATACGAGCCCGGCAGCCCACCAAATGCAGCAGCGAGACTACCTAAATCGGGAAAAAGAAATTCTCAATAAAAAGAAATTGGTGCTACCACATAATAATATTTGAGTACTCAAAAGATGAGATAAGTTCTTACTCAAAATTGTTTGTTATTGATTTATAAAACTCTGTATTTATGGTTAGTATTGTTTATATTCATAAATCACTCTATAAATATCGCATTTGCGGAAAAAAAAAACAATTAAAACTAAAGGCGTTTGGTCATCGAGCTGTATAAAAATAGATGAATAAAATTGGTAAAAGCATTATGAACCGTCTATGTATTTGCTATAATAGAGTGACCAAACAACCTTAGTTTTAATTCAATTTTTGTGAAAATGATCTTTACAGAGTAATTCATAATATGAATGGTTTTGATTAGAAGCACAAAATTCTGTGATTCGAAAACGATGAGTTTTGATTAGGAGCTCCTACTCATTCTTGAGTAACGAAACATTGGTCCTATCAACACACCCATTTTTACCTTCCACACATATTCAAGTCGAATAAATTGAAGAAGATCAAATGACATAAATGAACAAAGAGTGTGCGAAAAATGTGTGTGGATAGCACCACCAAAAGAAAAGCAGAATTGGTAAAAATATAAGATTTAAATTTGTTAGTTATATAGCAGGTGACGTTTTACCGCAGTAACAAGAAGCAATTATGCTAATGCACTATGGTGCATGTTTGATCTCCTTCCTCTAAAAACTAACAATTTAACCCACTAACGCTATCTTTTGTCAAAAAAAAAAAAAAAATTATTGTCAGGTATGTATGATTTTAAAAATTTATCGATCTACTAAAAATTAAATAATAATAATAATAATAATAATAATAATAGCTTTTAGAACTTTAAAATTCGAAAAGAGAATATGATTTTAAAATACACTTGACATAAGCATGATTTTTATGGCCTAATCCAAGTTATAATAGAGGTTTATCTTTGTTCATTTTCAATTCAACTGATGTAGTTTAATCAAAAGAAGAATAGTCGAGGGTTTGATGAGAGTTTTAATGAAACACTCCAAATACTGTTCACTTTTAACGAAAAACCATTTTTTTTACCTTTTCTGTACTACTCACTTACACCTTTATTTGTCATTTTTCATTAAAACTAAAGTTTTTTTGAACTTTTCGTTAGTTTTTCTATTGATTTTATTATAGTAACGTTCAATGTGAACGAAACTTTGATGCCTATTTGGTGGTTTATTTTATGTAAATTACATCATTTAGTCCACATATATATGACCAATAGTATTTTGTACTTATGTATCAAGAGCTACACAGTTTCAAACGTCATAAAAAACCCCCATCTGATTCCTTTCACACTCAACATAAACAGGAACTCACATCTACGAATTCTGTATATATAAGTATATACTTTATGGCACACAATTAGCAGCTGCACCCCACCATCAAACAAAGAATACGATATGGATGCGCTTGGAAACCATCTAGAATGTCATAACATCAACAACTCTGAGTTACATGATTTCATAGACGATGAAAACTTTGATCAATTCATTGATCTTATTCGCGGTGGCGAAGGTGAAGATATAGCTAATTTTGATTGTGAACTTATGATCAATGGATGCTTGGATGATTATAACCTGTTCGGTCCAGCTAGTACTACTCCTCCAGGTCCTATGTTTGGTTTCAATGATGCATTTCTACCTGACCCGAGCACTTTTGTGCTTACTACATTACCAAATTTTGATGAAGAAGACTATAATGATGGGGAAGATTCGTCTGAAACAACAAACACAAACACAACCACGACGACAACAAAGAGGCAAAAGGTTGATCGGTCACGAACTTTGGTGTCGGAGAGGAAGAGGAGGGGGAGAATGAAGGAAATGCTCTATGCATTGCGGTCCTTGGTTCCTAACATAACTAAGGTAAGTGTTGGTATAAGTAAGTTATATACTGCATTGCAAGTTTTACTCTCCAATATGTGATAACACGTGGACGGTCCAATATACTTCTAATAGTACTGTATCCTACATTTTTTTATCAAAACGGGTTCTTCCGGTTTGAAGTATGAGTTGTACAACGATATCTATGAAGAACAAACAAATTATGCAAGCACGATTGTTGTTTAATCTTTTGGAGATATATGCACAGATGGACAAGGCCTCCATTGTTGGAGATGCTGTATTGTATGTACAAGACTTGCAAATGCATGCTAAGAAGTTAAATGCTGAGATTGCAAGCCTTGAAGCATCATTAGCAGGAGCAGATGAGCATATGGGATATCTACAAGGATCAACCAAAACTAAAAACAAGAAAAAAGTTTCAGACAATAACCATTTATTTTCTAAGGGCATCATTCAGGTCAATAACCATTTTGATTGTAATTTATTAGCTATTAATTTCTGCAAATAAAGTAATTTACCCTTGTACTTAATTACGTATCATGCCTTTCTGCAGATAGACGGGTCTCAAGTGGAGGAAAAAGGTTTTTATGTGAAGGTGGCATGCAACAAGGTACAAGGAGTAGCCACAGCACTTTACAAGGCTCTCGAATCTCTTGCATGCTTCAATGTTCAGAGTTCTAACTTAAACACAGTTTCAGCAGACAGATTTGAATTAGCATTCACTTTGAATGTATGTATATATCAGTACAATATGATATTCTACTCTATCCTTGGTCGGCGATTTTTACAGTCCTAATTACACTTTATGTAATTATCTGTGTACATGATTTAAACTCCTGCTTTGTTATCCAATAGATGTAGGAAATAAAAACATAAATGTATTTTTTTTAAAGGTACAAAATATGAGTGTGAAAACCGTCACCCCTCTATTTGTCAGCAAGTTTTCAATCTTTGACTAATTAATTATTTGTTAATACTTGTTAAAACAGGTAAAGGATTGCGAGCTGGGCATCATCAACTTGCCAAATTTGAAACATTGGGTGGCTGGGGCTTTTCTGAACCAAGGCTTTGTAATCTGAGGATTGCAAAAAGTTCGAGTTATAGAGGTTGTAGTAGTCGAAGAGCCAAGAACGCCTGCATTGCATGCATGCACGGAGAGATTTTTTAATGTGACCGTCACACGAAGTGGTACATCACGTGTTCTTATATAAATGATGAGTTATGTGTGTTAAAAGGTTAATAACTTAAAAATTAAAATTTTCCAACACTTGCATAAAAACACGTGGTGTACTATCCGTGTTCCCGTCACAACTAAAAATTTCTCGCATGCACGCAACCAGCTGATATTTTGCTGACAATGAGTTAATTTCAACTATCATCGATCCCATCGATGTATGTATTGTGTATCTTGGCTGCTCTATCTCTGATTATTATTTTTCTTCGTTTCTAAAAACATGTTTGTGGTTTTGAGTGTTGAGTGGTGACCGTGTCAAAAGGAGAGGACTACTCGTGGGCCCTTGCTCACCCACACTCTGCTTATACGATTGCAACTTAACCTTATGAATTTTCTTGGGCTACTTCAATCAATCATTTCAAATCATTGGGTGAAAAAGGTTGCTCTCGTATTCTATTTAATCTTTGGTATCGTTGGTGTTAAAACTTGAATAGAGTCAGACTGGGTTCAACACATATTTGTTTTGGGTGTACTTACACTTTCAGTGCGTGGGAAGACTTGAGGGAAAGAGAAAACAAGCATGTCACTGGTGGAGGTTGACAACAGACATCAATGTGTTCGAGTGTGTGTGAGGTTTGCACATAGAACTGACTTCTTAACCAAAAGATTGTACACCGAGGGAGATGCTGGTTCAATTAAGTTTTTTATCGTGCCTCGAGCAGTTGAGGACTTAGAATTCAATGTGATTTGTATGTATTTGCCTAAAATGAGAGAGAAATTGAAACTAAAATGAGAAACTGAATGTACTCATTTCATAATGAAGTAATGATTGTAATCAATTACAAAAAGATTTAGGGCTGATGAGTCGATCTACATAACTTGAAAATTAAATAGACGGAAAACATATAGAAAATCAATAGTCTCTAGAATGATCTAGGCTATGAAGGGTAAGATAATGCTAGAGGAATCTACCAAGTTCACTGAGGTCGTTGGTATCAGAGTGGACTGAATAAGAAACATAAGCCTCAGAGAGGAGTTCAAGAGTGGTTGGAATTGTACTCAACTGAATCATATCATGGGATACAAAGTTATACGAGTTTTAGATTTCAAGGATTGTAGCCAATGTTTGCTTCGAATGAAGACTTTGAGATTGTAGCTGAAGAGCTAGGGGTTATGCTGAAGAGCAATTTGGGTTGTGCTGAAAAGCAGTTGGATTGATTGAAGAATCACTTGAAGTATATAATCGTAGAGATTGAATTTGACGAAGGCCCTAAACTTGAAAGACTTTGGCCTTATTTATAGGCAATGAAGAATGAGTACGTAATCTCGATCTCATCGCTAAGCTGGAGCGGGGGTAGATTGGTCACTTGACACTGACAATGACTGCAATTCCTGGTTTGTGGCCTTCAGTTGTGTCATGTATCATTTCGAACGAGTGTTGTAGTGGCATCAACCTGTTAGATGATGCATTCATGGGCATTTAAGAAGACAAGATATTCTTGATTTTGGTAGTCTGCATGGTATATGCACTTTAGAGAAGGTCAAGTTTAAGCCCTCATATGGTAGTAGAGTGATGAGAGTCAACCATTCGATCCCTAGGATAGGATCCCGGATTAGGCCTTGAAGTCGGTTGGCCGGAGTTATGCAACATTTAGTAAATAAAAATAGATTAACCTCGTAGCAGACCTTATTTTTATTTATGGCCAAAACAAGTTGTATTTAGTCTTGGTTTCAAAACAGTGATGCATTTGTATGGCTGCAACGGTTTCAGATGTTTTTTTTTTTTTGGTGAACTTTTCAGATATTCTTTTGTAATTTTCACACCAAGAAGAAAAATCACCATCGTTTTCACACTTCTGTCATTCCCAATTGAAAAAGGTAAGTTCTCAAATTGACTTGGTTTTCAAAGTTTGGAAACTAAGAGTACATGGAAGACTATTGGGTAAGATTTTTTCTTATATATATGTACTATGTTCTAAATTTTTTCAACAGTACGCCTTGATTACTCCCGGACAAAAAAGAGAAAAAAAGTTGTTAAATGACCAATGTGTCAATAACATGTAAAATATACGTCATTCATACGTAGATATATCTATAATTTATTTAGCTTATGAAGTTTTTTAATTGCATTTGCAGCGCTGCAAGATGATACATCAGTATTTGAGGTAAAAGCTTGAACATAACATGTAGTGTATGTTCAACACTAAGTTAATTTTCGAGCACTCAGATTGGTTATTTGAATCAGTTTCCAATAACTCTCTGGGGCCTTCAAGAATTGCTGGAATATGTCAAGCAAAATTATGACAATTAATCCTCATTTATATATCCATGAAAATGGTCCATCTCTCTCTCTCTCTCTCTCGTTTAACTTTTGGCCCTCTCCATGCAATTGTTGGCATTATTTGCTTTGTCATTTCCCTTCGCAACAAAGGGAAAAGAGCGTCCAGCACAACTAAAAGATCTATCCTCAAATGATGATACATAAACAAATTACAAACTATGTTGAAAGCATGTTGAAGAAAGTGCCAAGCTTGCTTCACCAATAAAGCAAGGTTGAAAGCATAAAGATCTTTGAACTCCAAACCACTTACACAATTGGCGCCAATTAAGACTGGCCCAATATATTTAGGTCAACAGACTCAATGCAATTCTTCATTAGAGGACTGGTCGAGGGTGAAATATTTGGATGGATACATAAAATCTTTGCGTGAAGCTATAAGGTATATAGCTTGTGTGTGTGTGTGTATATATATATTATATAGTATATAACATCATTTACATTTTGATCTCTCCATTCAAGTGCTAGCTTGTTAGTACTCCATATTACTAATTCATCCTATTTGACTTTGGAAGGAATGGATCAAACGCAGAAGTTTATTTTATTTGGTCCTTGGATTCCCTTGAGTTGTTAGGCGCCTATAAATCGAGTTACAACCTATACTACGTGGATTTGGAAGGAAAGAGATCATCTTCGGATCCCTTCCACCTAATCCTCTTGACCCACAAATCCGAACCCTTGAAATTTGATCCAATGGTTAAAGTTATTATAACTTTTAATGGGACTTCTTGTTTGTAGCCGTTATATCAAATTTCAAGAATCCAGATTTGTGGGTTATGAGGCTTAGGTGGAAAGGATCGGAAAATGATCGCTTTTCAATTTGGAAGACCTTGATTTGAAAAGATAACCTAAACTCTCTGCTCATTAGTACTCTCATTTTTTAAAGAGAAAAAATGTCATCAACTTAGACGAACTTCTTACATCCATTTCTAATGGTTACGACTTTCAATAGATATCATTATACAAAGTTATATTCTGATGTAGTGTTAAAGTTCATATGTGCGCATTACCATTAAGGTTTGTTATGGTTCTTAAGTTATGTAACCAACACTTCTTTTTTCCCTTAGCTTATTTTTAGCTATGACCTACATATGTACTCTTCACTAAAATTCACTTTACCCCATACACTTTATATTGTCTTACTTTACTGTTTGCCTCTTTCTCTATGTCCCATTTTACTTTTTACGCTCTATATCATCACACTGTACCACATGCATTCTTCATTCATGTCCCACTTTAACCTATTTCATCAACTAAGTTGGTTCGGTGGCATATGGCATGACATGTTAGTGGAACCCATGGGTAAAGGAGGTGAGTTAAACTCAAACTAGGATTTGATTTCTCTAGATGAAGAGAGAAAAAAAAAAAAAGAGAAGATTGAATTTCAAGATTCGTGAGTCAATTTCAAAGTTTTCATATCCCTTTGCAAAGGTTTAACCCACCAACATAGTTGAAAAAGACTAAATGTTCATGTCACATCAGCACAATTAGCGACTCTCTGAACTTATTTGACAGAATAGGGCAAACTGGGGGAAGAGTATAGATGTTAAAGTGAGATAATATAGAGTGCAAAAGGTAAAGTGGGAAATAGAGGAAGAGTATCAACGGTAAAGTGAGACAGTATAGAGTGTCTTGGTAAAGTGAGATTTGATGAATAGTACAAGTGTCATAGCTAAAAATAAACTTTTTTTTTTTGGGAAATGTAACCATCACTTCAAGCATTTTTTTTATTTTTTTTAGTCTAGTTCTCTTGTTAACTTGGTGACCACGAATTATGATGATGTATCCTTAGATTTGATCTTAAGAGTTGAAATTTAAACATTAAAATGCTTCCTTGATCCCAAGGATGGATCCATTAAGAGACCCGGGGACCCTGAAGGAGCTGGGAATATCCTCGAAGGACCACAGGGCATTATGATAGGTGACTTGGGAATGTTCACCAAATGTATGATGAAATGCTTGATTGGTAGACCGTGGCAAATGCTTGACATGATTCAGCAACACGCCTCGGTTGTTGTTGACAAATATTGACAGCACACCTCATTAGATTTCAAGAACACACCTTAACATCTGGCAAGTGTCGGCATATCGACAATATGCATGGGTCGATAGGCATGCATCATGGGTAGGCAAAAATGACGAAATTTTTACCAACTATTCAACAAAATGATGAAGAAAATTGAGATTTCACCGTAAAATTAATTGGCAATATGTGCAATAGTCCAACCTCTTTTAAGCCCTTGCAATGTTTTTCCTTTCATTAATGTGAGACTCTTTTTACGTGTAACGAATTTTCAAACCTAACAAGTGGATAACAAGAACAAGGTAACGTGGAGCACGTGTCACTGTACACGTGGGCCAACTTAGCTTTGATATCATGAAGAAAGTTGAGGTTCTAACATAAAACCAATTGATAATATGTGGAGTATTCCAACCTCTTATAAGTCTTTGCAAGGATTTTCCTTTCACTAATGTGAGACTCTTTTACCTCACATTCTCACAAATGCCTCACTGAAGATACCAAAGAAAAAAATTACGCGATGCACGTGCTATTTCATTTTAAAACAAATTGAAATTAAAATTAAATGATGAAATC